AGACGGGTTTCTTAGACGAACCACCCGGTGTTTTTCACCGGGTGTAGGGTCGAAGAAACCCGTCTCTCCTCTTTTCTTCGTCTTTCTGCCCTTCTTTTATTTTTCTGAACAAATTATCTCCAAATCTTCATTAATGGAGAAAACGTGTATATATACTAAATCCCAAATAAAAAACCAAATCAACAAATTGAATATGGAATTTGGCCCCTTCTTTCTCTATCTCTCTCGAATTGAAGGTTTCTCCCAAAATTTGAAATCAATTTCTGCTGCTAAGCTAAACAACCCACCGCTCAACAGCTATCATCTTTCCCAAGCCTCAGCCGCCGCATTGGCGATCGCCGGTGCTTCCATAATGTCACCGGAATCTTCACCCAAAAGGAAGCCGATTGTAACCTTTAAAACCCTTTTCCCCGACTTCTCAAAAAGGAATGAAGAAGAAAGAAGATTTCAGATTCGGTCACTCGAGATGGTTTAATATTATAGTTTGGAATCGATTAGAGTTTTGACAAGTTTTTTACTTCATCTTCTGGCAGCGGAGATGGGTCCAGAATCGGCGGAGTGAAGATGATGATGACTTTCTTTAAATTATGTTTTGGAAAATTGCAATTTGACCTTTTTAAGTTTCTGCAACTTTTTTCAAAATTCAATTTGGTCACTTAGTTTTAAAAATTACATATTTTAAGGAGTGGGGATTTTCTTCTTGCAAAAGCCTCCCTTGGGTATTTTCGTCTTTTTACACACGGTCAATGGGGAAAACGTAAATGGGTTGAGTGTGTTATCTAAAACAAAATATAGGGGGTATTTGCTAATTTTTTTATGATAGGGGGGAATCGCGCAGTTGCGATTTTCACAGGGGTACTAAATGCAATTTACTCTTAAAACATATATATTTAAACTTCATTATTTATGCATACACAAACACTCACTTTATTTAGGTAAGAAAAAAATAAGGAAGCAGTTTTATTAGCAGCTTCTCTTGAACTTTGACAGCCAAAACTTAAACAAGAAAACACACACACACACAGCACACAGAGAAAAATAGCACACAGCATAAAGTATTATTTATTACATATTAGCAGCAGCTGGTATAATCCTTACTTCTCTGCCTTAAAAGCCTCTTCTTTCCCATTAGCCATGTTCTTCAAGGACTGAAACCTAAAACCCTTGTCTCCGAACTTCGTTTTCGAGTAAAAACTCAGATAATCTTGAAAACGAACACAATTCGGAAGCAAAAGCTCCGGAGCAGGGGAAATAACCGCATCGCCGCACGGGTTATAGAAAGTGGCAATCGAGAGCCTATTCCCATCCTTCATTGCCATCACCCTGTGCAGAGCACTCTTGTATACCCCATTACTCAGTATCTCGATCTGATCGCGCGTGTTAATGAATATTCGATTGTTCTTCGAAGGCGGGATTTTCACCCATTTCCCGTCTTTGAAAAACTCGAGCCCCGGCACTTGATCGTCTTGGAGCAAGAGAATGATCCCGCCTGCATCCGTGTGCTCCCTGAGCCCTCTTATAAGCTCCGGCTTCGGACACTGAGGATAAACTGCTGCTTTTGTCCCCACAGTGGGGCCAACACTTCCCGAGAATGCATCCTTTATGCGATCCTTGTCGATTCCAAGATTCTCGCACATGAGCTCCGATAGATTCTCTGCTAGCTTGATTAGTTGCTCGATGTATTCGTCCATTGCCTTTCTGCATATACGGGCGTACATTAAATTTTTTCGGATGCAAGATTGAATTATTTCGCGACGAATTGTTTTTTTTGTAAAACTTACTGGAGGTCTTTGGAGAGGCCGGAGAGATCGTTGATGTTGGAATTCGGGCGGTGCCAAATGAAGAAGGTGCTCTCCCAATCTTTGTCCTTAATAAACTCGTTGATATCCATTTTCTTCGCCGTATCCGAGTTGTAGAAGCTCTCTTTCATATTGTCTTCGTAATGAGTGTTCATTAAAAGCTTCACCTTCTCCATGATGTCTTTATCAATTCCGTGGTTCTCAATCTTCACGTACCGAAGAAAGAAAAAACGCAATTATTTTCCGGAAAAAAAAAAAAAAAAAGAATTTCGCTTTGAAATTAAATTTCAGTTACCATAAAGAAGCCCCATTTTTCGCAAGCCTCGTGCAGAAGCACCATCGTGTTGCTTCGTTTCTCGCCGTCGAGCTCGCTAAAGTCGATCACGGGTATTATTTCCATCTTCACAGATTTATTGTTCTTGTGAATGTTTGTTTGAATGTGAGATAAGAGAAAGTTAGTTGATGTGGTTTATATATATAGGCAGCAGTTGGGGAATGTAGAATATACTTACATTATTACATATATATATATATATATATATATATATATATATATATATATATATATATATATATATATATATATATATATATATATATATATATATATATATATATATATATATATATATATATATATATATATATACTTACTGAAAGTAGATTAGTTTGGCGCTTTGGGGAAAAACGAGGAAGGTTAATTAAGGCCCATATTCAGACCACCACTCCACCATCACCATGTGATTTTAAGCTTTTAATAATAATTTGACTTCAAATCAAATCTATTATTTTATTTGTCTCCCATATATCTTTGCTTCATTCTTGTTGAAGATTTTTTTTTTTTTTTGTCTTGATATATATGATGCTTCCTTTCTTCACCTCCTCCCCATGTAAATTAAACCCCCAACAACTTTATTTTTAAGAGAACTCGCAGTTATTCGAACTGCGCTGAATAAACTCCGTTTTCGTGCAGTAGCTCACTAATTACACGAAAAATACGAAAAATGTAAATCATGTTCAGCTAACCATGTGAGAGTTTCAAAAGTTATCTTGCTCTGCCAACTAGGTGACCGGTAAGGACATTTTTTATTTTTGTTTCTTTTTAGCATGTCTAATGGGATTTTTACTATTTAAAATTTTCTTGTATTAAAAGTATTGTAATTGGCTTGCATTGTAGATCATTGTTTTGGTAAAACCAAGTGCAAGTGTGCCATTGAATGAGGTGACTTTAGATATGGGCAATAATCATATTGGCTCCACCTCAACATGTATTAATTAATTTTTCGAATTTATTCGAATTTTTACCGTTTTGTATTCGAGTTTGAGTCAAGTTTCATATCTTGTGTCGCACTTAAATGTTCCCAATTACGGGTTCACTTTGTTCACAAAACGAGTTCAAACAAACCTTTATCATTTCATTCAAGCTCGACTACCATGATTTACTTTTAATAAAAAAAAAATAAAAAAATAATTCAATAAAGTAGAATAAGAAAATGAGAGAGCCCAACCAAAATGAAACCATGGGCTTACTTTTTTTTTTCTTTCCAATGGGCGGTATACATATTGGGCTGTCCCATTATGTTTTTTTTATATAATTATGATAATGTAAGAAGCTATTAAAATTAACAACTCAAAAGAAAGAACGACAAATAATACTCATATGTATATATAAAAATAATTGTGAATATAAAACTATGCATATTAATTATAAAAATATATAAGAAAAGATAAAAAATGTAATATGAAACTGTATAATAAGAGCATTATGCACTTTGTAATGGAGTGGTGGTAGATAAAAATGAAATTAATGTGGAGTGATTTAAATAGTATTGAGCATGAACTTTCTTTTATGGAAAAAATAAAAATTCAAAAGATTTATATATTAGTAAATGAAATCAAATCAAACAAATAAAGGAAACAACCCAAAAAAATAAGATAATAACTTCTACGAAACAATCTTGCAATGTAAAATAACTATAAAGATGATTAATTTTGCAATTCAGTTAAATACGGTATTGGAAATCTTGCAATTCAGTTAATAGAAATTAATTATATATAAAGACTTAA